TCTAAAGTCGAACGGGCCGACATGATCATTTGAAACCGAAAGGGACAAATATATGGTACACGCTATTCTGAAACGATTTCCACTTAATTTGATACATCGGAGCTATGACTATATCTAAATCAAATTTCCTCAATATATATATCCTATTTCAGTTGATATTAAAATGTTCATGCAAAATAAACGTGAAATTGGATGATAACAGAGGCATTTGTATCCTGTCTCTGATAGCTGGCACAAAATATCATTATTTTGTAGTACATTTAACGAGTGTGAGATTTGACAAAATTGGAGACACTTTCAACCAATTCGGTCGAGTGTGGCGAAATCTATATAATTTTGACTGATATTAACCATTTGGCGCCCAATTAACTTCATATCAGATAAAAATGTATGTGGAAGCTATATCAAAATCTGACCCGATTTCGATAAAATTTGACAAAAGAATTTCTGAGCTATATCTAATATCTGGTACCAAATATCATTGCTTTAGAGGGTATATTGCGAATGTAAACACCAAATCGGTAGAAGATATATTTGGGAGCTTTAACTATATCTGAACCGGTTTTCGCTAATTTTTTTCGGAATGCAAGGAAGAAAACTTCATAACCTAGAGGTAGTCTACATATTTCTTCAAATATCAAGTTTTAGTCAGCAGAAAATCGGATTACAAACTCAGTGGATTATGAAATTAGAGACATGTGTATAGGAGTTTTCAAAGGTTACGTCGCAAAGTAGACCATATAGAACGACGAGCTAGTTCCACCCTCTTTCACATACCTCTGGAATTTTAGCTTTAGATTTCTTGAAATTCTTGGAAGAAATAGTACAATACCAGCATTATTTGGGTTAAACATTTTTACCCTCAAGCGAGACACCAAAATCGTATTCTTGTATTTAGCCTCAGATATATGGCTAGAGAAGGTATATATCATTTGATACGGCCAAAACGTGCCTCATCGATATAACAGTTTTAGACCCTAGGTCTGTTTCGACCAAATCCGTTTCAGGATATTTCGAGGCGATCTAGCGACGTCCGTCTGTCTGTCTGGGTGGTGCGCACGACAATTCTCGAAGGGAATATCCGATTTCATCCAAACTTGGTACATCGTAATATTATTGTTAAACTTAGATCGAGTTCGCAGATGGGCAAAAAGTAGATACGTTCCAAAAAAAAAAAAAAAAAACAAAAAAAAAAAAAAAAAAAAAAAAAAACTGCGCAGAAAGAAAAAGGATAATCCAATTTTGCAAATCCCAATATTTGCATAAATTCTAGGTTAGGTGCGAAACTGGACAATTTCGATAGGGTCAAAATTTTGAATAGTTATAACACTTATAAATGTGGTGTTAGCGTCCGATTGTCTCCAAATTACACACATCATATTGTGAAGACGGTACCTCCTGGTACCTCCTCCACAAAGGTTCAAAATTTTCGAATATCCATGAAGCTCATAAAACTCCAAATTAACATCTGATTCCATTCAAAATTGACATATCTCAATATTTTTATTTACACAAGTTCTGTTATAAAGATGGTAGAGATCGGACCATTTCTTTTGGTACCACATTGCGAATCCTAATATTGGCATTAGTGCTAGGTCAGGTTCGAAAATGGTCAATATCGGTCTACTCCATCAATTACCTCTCCCACAAAGGCTCAAAATTTTGATAAACCATAACACTTATTAAATGTGATGTGAGGGTGCAATTGTCTTCAAATTACACACATCATAATATTTTTATTAACTCAGGGTATGGACGGTCCACTCCTTCTGGTACCTCGCCTACATGAGGTCGAAATTTTGAGTATCCATTAAGCTCATAAAATGCGAAATTAACATCCGATTCCATTCAAACTTGGAACATCTTAATATTTCTATCAACACTAGATCTGTAAAAAAGATGGTAGAGATCGGATCATTTCTTGTGGTACCTCCCCCACAACGGGTCAAAGTTTTGAATAGCCTAATCGATTATAAAATCCAAAATAAATATCCGATTCTCTTCATATTTCAAATATCCCATTATTTTTACTAACACAAGATATGTTGTGAAGAAGGGAGATATCGGTCTACTCCTTCTGGAACCTCTCTAACAAAGGCTCAAAATTTCGAATATCCATGAAGCTCATAAAACGCGAAATTAAAATCCGATTCCATTCAGACTTGGTACAGCTCAATATTTCCATCAACACAAGATCTCTTACAAATATGGTAGAAATCGGACCATTTCTTCTGGTACCTCCGCTACATAGGGTTCAAGATTAAAAAACCTTCAAAGAAAGCGAACTCAACTCTACTCAAGTTTCACTCATACAAACATTTTTGCTAACACAAAATCTGTTGTGAAGATGATATATATCTGCCAACCCTTCTGGTATCTCACTCACAAGTTGTCAATACATTTATCTGTCATAACTTACGAAACAAATCAGCGATTCTTTACAACTTGCAACATCTAAATATTTGTCTGAACCAGAAATCTGAGGTGAATTGCATAAAATATTTTATCTGAATTAGATGAAGTATGAAAATGGAATACTTCGGTCGACTATATCTGGTACGTCTCGCACATTTTAATATGATCACATATTTGATATAAAGTGAAGGAAATAACAAATATAGTCCAAACCTGGCCGATACGAAGTGGACAATATTGGCCCAACCCTTCGAAACCTTCTCCATAGAGGCTCAAACATTTGAATAATCATAACAGAAGTAAATATATATATATATATATATATATATATATATATATATATATATTTATTTTATTTATTTTATTTAATCTATTAGTCTATGGATAATTCCTTACAGACTATATATGTACATAACTAATAATTGTATAATTAAAATTAAGAATTTAAAAACATTATTATTTTACTTTTTATAGTATTAATATCCATTGTAAAATCGATAAAATTATAAAACGCGTTAAAATCTTTTGAAATTCTTGTTAAAGGATCAGCGTTTGCATAGCTCGTCCAGGAGAATTGAATTGCTAGTGGTGCATAGTGGCGGGTAGTACGTTGAGGAACATTGAAATTTATGTTGTTAACAAGAAAGCCAGCAGAAATATCACCCATAATCACATTATAAAGAAATGAGACATTTAGCATTTTTCTACGGCTTTCCAGAGTTGGCAGCTCGATCAGTGAGAGTCTATCAGTGTATGGTGGAAGATTATCATATGAAAAGTTCAAACTTCGTAGACAGAAAAGTAGGAATTGTTTTTGAACAGACTCGATGCGGTCGCTGTGTGTTTTATAAATTGGATCCCATATGACCGAAGAGTATTCCAAAATTGGGCGAACAATTGACATGTATAAATTTTTTGAAACATAAGGGTCCTTAAACTCTTTACTCCAACGTTTCACAAAACCAAGAACTGATTTTGCTTTGTTTATAGAAACAGAAATATGAGATTTAAAGTTAAGTTTACAATCCAATACAACTCCAAGATCAACGTATGTATCAACTTTTTCCAGAGAATAATCACCGAGGGTGTAACAAGTATCCAATAATTGTTTTCTTGTGAATCTCATAAGTTTGCATTTCGAATAATTAATTTCCATAAGATTAATGTTGCACCAGTTAACAAACGAATTCAAATCATTTTGAAGCAGCTGATTCTTACATATCTCCGAAATGCTAAGAAATATTTTCACATCGTCGGCATACATCAAAATATTTGAAAATTTTATAGATGAAGGTAGATCATTTATAAATAAAGAAAATAGGATTGGTCCTAGATGACTTCCTTGTGGGACTCCAGAAGAAACCATAATACTCTTCGAAATGGCGTTTTTAAAACATACTTTTTGTGTTCTATTTTGTAGATATGAAAAAAATCCATTCGGAACTTCTATTTGTAAATCCAATGTTTTTAAGTTTTAATCGTAATAATTTATGATTAACTTTATCGAATGCCTTGCTGAAATCTGTGTAAATTACATCAGTTTGCTTTCCTTGAAGAAATCCTCGATTTATAACTGTAGTGAACTGAATGAGGTTTGTTGTTGTAGAACACTTCCTCTGAAATCCGTGCTGATAGGGTGAGACAATAGAACTAATGCAATGGATAAGGTTTTCAGTAATCAGTTTTTCGAAAAGCTTTGGAATCACGCTTAATTTTGCTATTCCTCGGTAATTGGCCACATCAGATTTATTTCCGTTTTTAAAGAGTGGAATGATATACGATGTTTTCCAAACCTCAGGAAAAACAGCTTGAGTTATATATATATATATATATATATATGTATATATATCTGTCGGCAAAACCGACTGATACTTTTTAACTTGTCAAGCTCTACATGCATTATCTGCTGGATTTCCTCCGTGATTATTTTTTGTGTTGCATAGTGTTATCAATTTGTATAAAGATACTTCGAGATTTTAGTAATTGCGAATGTCTTGGCCATATTTTTCAATCGATTTGGCTGAAGTTTTGTTTTTTCGGTATATTTTGAAGAAGAAAACCTTGCGGCGTAAGAATTTTATCTCAGTATAATAATCCGACAATTACGAAAAATGTCAAATAGGTGCTCCATATATTTGAGCTCCACTTTCAAAATCTACTGAGTTTTTCCTGCAACTATTTTTTGTGTTGCCCAGTGTTATTTTTGGCGAAGGCATATATACTTCAAGTGAAGATTTGAAATGTTTATTTTTTTACAGGAATTTGTCGATAGTTGTTCAGAATTAGTGAGGTTTGTCTGAGGAGAACAACATCTTAAATGATAGTCGAGCTAATATTGTGAAGTCTTTTGCTTTTTTTGTTTAAAAACATAAAATATGCATTAATATATAGTTCTCTTTTTCTAAATGAATGCTAAATACCAAAACAAGTTATTAGCATGACATGAATATGTTTTTTTTTAACAACAAAATTGGAATTTAATTTCTCTGTAATGCCTTTTTCTTAACTTTTTTTCATAAATTCTAAATTATTTTAAGAAATACCACTGCCATAAAAGAAACTAATCTCTACTTACGTTTTTGCAGACAGCAAGACATCGCAAACGGACGAAGAGAAACAGCGCGATCGGCAACGCAGCGAAAGGGAGGCTAAAAAAGAAGAACAGGACGCGATAAATTATAAGGTATTAACAATTAAAAGCAATATATAATAACTAAATACTAATAAAAAAATTATTATTGAATTTCATTGCAGAGAGACAAAGACGCCCGTGAAGCCCGTTTATTGGATTTTGAGATACGACGGCAGCAGGAACGCGAAAAGAAAAAAGAAGAGCAAAAGATTTTACACCAACAGCATCAGCAGTTGCGTGAACAACAACATCAGCAGCAGCAACAACAACAGCAAAGTGGTGAAAGTCCTCCTACCACCTCTACCTTAGCTCAGCAACAACAGCAGCAACAACAACAACAACAGCAGCAGCAACAGCAAGACGAAGAAGATCCTGAAAAGCAACATCTCATCGGTGGCAGCAGCAGTGCTCCAACACCGATCATACCAACACCACCAGAACGTGGTCTGCCACCAGCGTTTCGCAGTCGTTCCATAGAACGTGAATATCTCTACGAAAGAAAGCGACAACTATCGACAGCCGATACACACGACTATAAAGTGAGTTGAAATTAAGAAAAAAGGTTAAATAATTTGATTTAATTTGGTAGAAAAAATTGAATATTTTCTGTTAGAAAAATCGACTGAATAGTTTAAAATAGTACACCAGAGGAACAAATGAATTCTACAATTTTAATATTTAGTTCTTGGCTTCGTCAATGACAAATGAAACTGAAGGCACGAAGAATTAAAAAAAATCATAAAAAGTTCCGCAAAAAATTATTTAATTGTGCCTCCAGATTGTATACAAATTCATATGATATTTAAAAGCACTAAAAACTTGGCTCGGAAAGCTTAAAGCTTAGACTCTAAAGACTACTAGTCTACGAGAAGAATTCCTGCTCCATTGATGTGGAGTGAGTTTTTTTTCTCCAAATTTTGCAAACTTCCAAATTTTGCATCAATAAAAAATCTATTGTGAAAATATCGGTCCACTCTTTCTGGTGTACGGGGAGATACTAGAAGGAAATTATAAAATGTGCGTAAGGTACCAAATTTAGTGGACCGAAGTATTCCAAATTCATGGCGCATCTAGTAGAGATAAAAATATTGGTATCCGCAAAATTATAAGAAAATCGAGCATATATATCCAATTTTATTTTGTGAGAAATATTTAGATATATCAATTCTACAGATCTTGTGCTGATGGAAATACAGAGATATACTAAGTATGAATGGAAGCGGATGTTAATTTCGCGTTTTATGAGCTTCATGGATATTAAATATTGACCCTTTGTGGGGGAGGTACTAATTTCACAAAACTGTGACCCTTCGTGGGGTGGTACTTGATGAATCGGTCCGATATTTTCTATTTTCGCACCTGACTAGCACTCATGCAAATATTAGGATTTGCAAAGTTGAAGCGAGCTTATGTTGATTTGTCCATAACAGGACGATCATCTATGATGAGTCTGATCGGTTTGATTCATCTTAGTTAAGTGAGTGATTTGATATTGTAATTTTACTAAGGATTTCATAACTAAAACCTGTCCCCAATAAAGAAATTGGTACAAATTATATTTAATAAACAGACAATTTTTTTATTTTATTTGGGTTTTTGGTATGTTAGACTTCAGTGACTTATTTCTAAAAAACAATATTAATATTTTTTATAAGTAAGTAAAGGCTATAGTAGTGCGGGGCCGACTATGTGATACCATACAACACAACAATATGTTAGAAGCCCCCTTATGTCCAAATCCATTTTGGAAGATTTCGCTTTTTAAATTATGCCACAGAGCACTGCCCAGATATTATCCTTAGCATTTTGACCAATGCACTATGGGTAAAAAGCATGATTTTTTGGCATAAAGTCATTTTTTTTTTGGTTTCATATTTTGAAATTTAACTGATTTCCTAAATGTAGATACCCATATTAGAAAAAAAAATGTTTAATATCAATACGGGTGGCAACCCTTTTTTACTGGCGAGCTTTTAAAGTCAGCTGTTTGAAAGTCACTTTGTTTTGGTACAACTGGCGGTAAAGATCAGCTAAGTTCAAGTGCTTCTGATTTGACAAAATTGAAAAAAATAAAATGTGTAATTATGGAAAACGTTAGTGCAGGTATGTAAAATTAAGACGAGGTGCCCTTTTTGTCATAATTGTCTGTTGTTGTAATACTGTGAATTGTTTCGTTTATGTATAGCTTTATATAAAATCTATAAATTGTAGTTGTGTTCCGTGGAGTGTAACTTGTGAATGGCAAAGCATTGCAAAAAGGTATAAATGCCAAGTTATTAACAAAAGTGTGTTAATTAATGAGTAACTAGCCTTTTTTGTTCTATTTTGTGCCAACACGTGTTTTGCAGATAAACATGTGTTTGTCCATGCAGCGCTTATTGAAATTTGGAGAAGCAACAATCGCTCAGAAGATGCACTTGTGAAATATGTGTTACAGAATATCAATAATATCAGTTTAAATGAAGACCAAATGCGTTTGATATCAAAACAAGTGAAAGATTTTGTTAATTATATAAAAAGCATTTGCCAAAGTGCATCCGTAAACTAGAGCGATTTAAAACTAAACATTCAAAATGGCTTAGCAAAAGTATAATTATTGTAATGAATGAGCAGTATGTTTCTCCAAATCATCATAGCCGATCGGCCAGATCGGCTATATAGCAGCGACATGAAATAGTGCCCCAAATCATATGAAAATTCGTAGGTCATCTTGGGGGCATAAAAATGAATACAAATCAAATTTCAATTCAACAGCTTCATAAATAAAAAAGTTGGGTCAAATAGGCCAGACCGGCTATATAGCAGCTACATAAGAAATAGTGCCCCAAATCATATGAAAATTCGTAAGTCATCTTGGGGGGGGGGGGGCTTAAAAATTAATACAAACCAAATTTCACTTCAATAGCTTCATAAACAAAAAAGTTGGGTCAAATCGGCTATATAGCAGCTATATGAAATAGTTCCCCAAATCATATGAAAATTCGTAGGTCATCTTGGGGGCATAAAAAATGAATACAAACCAAATTTCACTTCAATAGCTTCATAAACAAAAAAGTTGGGTCAAATCGGCCAGATCGGCTGTATAGCAGCTATATGAAATAGTGCCCCAAATCATATGAAAATTGGTAGGTCATCTTGGAAGCATAAAAAATGCATACAAACCAAATTTCAATTCAATAGCTTTGAAATTAGAGTTTATGCCAAAATAAACGAAAAAAAAACCCATAGTGCAATGGTCAACCATAAATGCTGGAATTCTTCCCTGTCCTTAACTCTACTATCAGGCGTTTCTATTGACTTCAATTTTGTGATCAGAAGCATAATTGCGACCCAATCGGCCCAATAAAACTTATAATACATATTGGTATAATAAAGAAACACATCATTGGTATTTAGTAAAAACAAAAGTTTAAATATTTTTTTTTTATTTTACAATATTGATCAAGATTTTTCACAAACTTCGACCTTTTCCTTTACCTACACAATTTCGGTCGCACTTTCACAATATTCTTCCATTTCAAATATTATAAAAGTCAAAATAAACTGTCCCAACTTGATCGAATGGTTGAATAAACAATGACGCTGAGCGAACTCGATTCGAAGATAACAACCACGGTTGTGATTGCTCATTTACATTCATGTGTTCGATCAACTCATATTGCTAAATACATCAAACCGTCTCGAACACTCATGTTTGATTGTGAGTGAAAAGATTTAAACTGAACGATCGATTCGATTCGATTCGATCCGATGCGAAAACAGTAATTTCATTCAGATAAAACTAAACGACTACATCAACAAAAACCACGTAAGAAACCGAATGTGGTTGAATTTTGCAGCCCGTTGCAGCCCTCTGGTATTTATCACTTGATGCGGCCAAAAGTGTCCCATCGAAATAACAGTTTTAGACCCTAGGTCAGTTTGCACCAAATCCGTTTCAGGACATTTGGAGTCGATCTGGAGGGGCCCGTCGGTCTGTCCGTCTCGCTGGTTGGTGCGCACGATAACTCGAAGGGAGTATCCGATTTGGTTCAAACTTGGTATATTGTAATATTATTATCAAACTTAGATCGAGCTCGGAGATGGACACCATCTCTGTCCACTGCTTTTGAGGCCTCCCCCACAAAAAGTCGAAATTTTCATAGAAAAAGAAATAAATCCGATTTTGCTCCAACTCTGCAACTCCACATATTCGCATCAATCCTAGGTCAGGTGCGAAAACGGACAATATCGGTCCACGCCATCAAGTACCTACCGCACAAAGGGCCAAGATTTTGAATAAATATAACTCTTATAAAATGTGATGTAAAAGTCCGATTGTCTTAAAATTACACACATGACAATATTTTTATTAACCCACCCAAGGTCTGGTATGAAGATGGAATATATTGGTACACTCCTTCTCGTACCTCTCCCACAAAGGGTCAAAGTTTTGAATAACTAAAACGATCATAAAATCCGAAGGAAGCATCCGGTTCTCTTTATTTTTCACACATCATGTTAAATGTACATATTAAATCTACTAATACACGATATACTGTGAAGATGGAATATATCAGTCCACTCCTTGAAGTATCTCCCCCACAAAGGGTCAACATTTTGAATATCCATGAAGCTCATAAAACGTGAAATTAACATCTGATTCCATTCAGACTTGGTACATCTTAATATTTCCATTAACACAAGATCTATTATAAAGATGATAGAGATCGGGTCATTTCATTAGGTACATCCCCCAAATAGGGTTTAAGATTTTAAGAAAACAAAATGCTCAAAGAATGCGTAATAAGCATCCAATCCTCTTCAAATTTCACAAACACACAAATTTTTCCTAACACAAGATCTGTTGGGAAGATGATATACATCGGCGAACAGAAGGGGCCTCAAACACAAAGGGTCACAATTTTCAATAATTGTATTTGTCATAACTTGCGAAACAAGGCAGCGATTCCAGAAACCTGATATGAATATAGAATTTATGCTTTCGCATAAAATTCGATATAAATGTTCGATTTTCTTGTACTTTGGTCCAAACCAAGGTTTTTATCTGTACTGAATGAAGGGTGAAAATATAAAAAGCAGTAACATTAAAGCACAAACATTTTGGCAGCAGACCTTGGACATTCCAACAGAACTCAACACCATCGCACTCAGCACGCGCCACCTAAGAACGGTTACAAAATGAGGTTCCCCGCTTCATTTCAGGCGCACAATGGGCACCAAAATCTCCGGTTACCCAAATTGAAGATTTTTATAGGTGCCATGTCTTGAGCTTCCACGTTTTCCATAAGGTGGAAAGTTTTAAAAGCTAAATTCTGCCAAAATACATGCCGCCTTTATATTGTTTAAAATATATTGCTGCTTCTGAAAGTGTAGGAAAGGTAGTGGAATTTCTACTACATCTTAAAACAAATAATTAAACACATCCCACTCCTTGGCTGTACAGAAAAAAATACCCCTTGTGGCGTATCCTATAATTATGTAAATTAGTATTTGTAAAACATGTCAGGATCAAAAGCTCATTTACTTTTTAATGACTCTTTTTTTTGTTCAAGTATTGTAATTAATCAAATATCGTTAATTGAATTTTAATTATTTTGTGTGTGTGTGTTGCTTTACATTCAAATGTTTTTCGATTTCTTACAGAAGCCGCTAAGTACGACACCATCGCCACAGGCAATAACTGGACCACCACCGCCTCCTACACCATCAGCAGCGGTGGTGGCGGGCCCACCGGCAACGGCTGCAGCTGCCACAGCTGCTATAATCCCTATTCTACCATTAGGGGTTGCCACGCTACGTGATGACTCCACCGAATCGGAAGAACAGTCCATGACATGCACTCATGGCCATGCGGAGTCATGTCATCGCATTATGTGAGTATTTTGTTACACTTTTTAGGTTTAAGACATTAATTTTAAACAAAAAAAAAGGGTTCTTCTTATAAAAAAACGAAATTGCAATTCCAATCGTTAAATCTTGGGAAATTTCGTTACTGGACAAGGCTATTTAGCCGTTGTAATTTGCGCATCGATTACTTTGACCTCATTAAGTTCTGCATTGTTGAGAATGCATTTGAATGTAAAATAACAAAATCAAGGCACAAATCCTTAGGAGTTAACTGCCCCCCGAGAGAGGGGAGAAGGGAGGGAGAGAAAAAACTAAAAAACAATCAAGGCGTGTAACAACTCATCAAGTAATTCCACTTTTATGCAGCTACCTCTAATTTTCCTCTACGCCCCGTGGATGTTTAGCTGCACCAACTGCAAGCAACTACAACATGCATTCCAGGCATCTTCATTAGCATCCATCTGTGGCTTAAACTTGTTTCCTGCCATTGTTTGCAACGGTTTTAGTTGGTTGGCTCGTTGTGTTGGGCATTCGATTTTGCATTGGCAGGAATTTCTACGCGCTTCAAGGATTATTTTGTTTTTAATTAAATCAGATTGAATAGCTTTTTAACAACAACAAGTCCATGGAGACTTTATTGATCCACGAGTTTGAAGAGGAAAAAATTAGGCAAAATATTTACCGTTGTTATTTAATTAGTTCCTACCCTGATGATGAGCCCAGGCTATTACACTGGAAACTTATTGTAGAGCAAATTCATGGGAAAAAGTGGTGGGTTGGAAGATTTTTTTTCTTTTAAATTTCAAAAAATGCAATAGCCGACAAGACTTTTGGATGAACATACACGACATGTGTGCATTGGAAGAGATCAGTTTTTCAAACCTTTTTTCAAAATGGATTTTTAAATGGTATACAATTTTATGGAGATGCAATCTGCAATAGAGAATTCCCAATACAATTTGAATACGAATGCATTTTGCATTATCTGAATGCAGCTTCTGTTAAATTATTGGAAAACTTTAATTTGAGACCAGGGCTAACTGAGCAATGGAAATAACTTTAAAAAAATACAGAATGTTTTCAAATTATTGCCAAGGCAAAATTCTACATTTTAGCACATTACAGGGTCTTCATAACACCCATATATTGGTCTACCTATTTAGACTTCAAATTAAAACCACTTGTTTTAGGGAATTTGGCCATGACCTTAAAAAAAGCCAAAATCGTCTGGACCAGCTCAACGGAAATTATACCACGTATATACCGATATTAAAAATATCTTTTTAATATTCAAGAGAATCAATCCCAGATGCATATTTACAAACATATAATTTGACTGTTTTGACTTTTGAGACGAGCTTAATGATCTAAGATTTTCAACGAAAAGGTAAGACAGGGAGACACAATCTCATGATTGGAAAAGTGGCTCATCGGGCACATTAGGTGAGGATGATGGCTTGCAAGAGTCATTCATTTGAAAAATGAGGGCAAAATGTATAAAGGCAGATAACCGGAAGCCCTCAACCGCTTAACGGTGAATATTCGAAAAAGTTAAGCATTAAAGAGTACCTGAAATATCCAATTTCACCAGATGCATTTCAGCGACTGAAGTGATCGAAATGCCAAAAAAAAGAGGTATACAGGGTTGCCCATATTCGACGGGTCCATGTTTTTTTTTTTTTTTTTTTAATCAAAGAAAAAAATAAAAATTTGACGGTTGGCAATGTTAATCATTTAATTTGTTCCAAGTAGATTTGATTACCTCAATTTTTGAATATGATATCTCTCAAATGGCCGCCTCTGGCGTTGATGACGTATTGTGCCCTTTTTGCTGCATTTTCCATCGTTTTTGCCAACATTTCGGCCGGAATAGCGGCTATTTCTTCACGCATGTTGTCCTTGAGCTCTTCTACGGTCCTTGGCTTGTTAACGTAAACCTTTGACTTCAAATATCCCCACAAGAAGAAGTCAGGCGGCGTCAAATCGGGCGAACGCGGTGGCCAGTCCAAATCACCACTTTTCGACATCAAACGGCCCGGAAACAAATTCTTCAGAAAATCGATTGTTATGCGACTTGTGTTGAAACCAGAACTGCCTCATACGCTTTCGACGAATAATTGGCATCACAAAATTGGTCATCATGTCGCGATAACGCTCCTGATTGATGGTAACAGCATGGCCATTTTCATTTTGAAAGAAAAACGGCCCAATGACCGTTTTCGCACTAACGCCGCACCAAACTGTGACTTTTTCATCATGAAGAGGCACTTCTTGAATCTCCTGAGGATTTTCAGTGGCGTAAAAACGGCAATTTTGCTTATTTCGGATATGATAATTTTGTTCCAAAATTGCTCGTCATCTTCGGCCATTTCGATGACTCTTTGGGTCCATTCCAATCGACGAGGCTTGTCCGCAGGCAACATTCTTTGCGTCAATTGAATTTTGTACGGGAACAAATGCAAATCAATGCGAATAGTCCGTTGTAAAGTGGACCGAGCCATACCCAACTGCTGAGAACGGCGTTTTTGGGATGTTCTTGGGGACCTCTCCACACTGGTTCGTACGGCAGCGATATTCTCGGACGATCGCCTTGGTCGGATTAGAAAAAGCCTTACCAGTCGAAAATTTTTCGTATAAACGCTTAATGGTGTTCGTAGAAGGCGCACTTCTCACATTTTTTAATGTTTTAAAAGCACGTTGAGTTTTCACCATTGATTGTTCTTTTGTTGAATGTAAATTTCATCTATTTCAGAGCGCTCGCGTGGCGTGTATTGGTTCATGGTAAAAATCTGCTTGGACTGGCGTTTCAAACGCGGTATGCCATTAAGCGATGTGACATCTGTACGCATGCATTTTGCATTATCTGAATGCAACTTCTGTTAAATTATTGGAAAACTTCAATTTGAGACCAGGGCTAACTGAGCAATGGAAATAACTTAAAAAAAAAAATACTGAATGTTTTCAAATTATTGCCAAGGCAAAATTCTACATTTTAGCACACTACAGGGTCTTCATAACACCCATAAGTATAGAATCAAGGCTTATATGGACCATTATATGACCTTGAATATTTTTCGGAGGATGTGCTCTACCTATTAAGACTTCAAATTAAAACCACTTGTTTTAAAGAATTAGACCACGACCTTAAAAAATCCCAAAATCGCCTGGACCAGCTCAACGGGAATTATACCACGTATATACCGATATTAAAAATATTGGTTTAAGATTTAATCCAAGAGAATCAATCCCAGATGCATATTTACAAACATATAATTTGACTTTTTTGACTTTTGATACGAGCTTAATGATCTGAGATTTGCAACGAAAAGGAAAACAGGGAGACACAATCTCATGATTGGAAAAGTGGCTCATCGGGCACGTTTGGTGGGGATGATGGCTTGCAAGGGCCGTTCATTTGAAAAATGAGGGCAAAATGTATAAATGCCGATAACCGGAAGCCCTCAACCGCTTAACGGTGAATATTCGAAAAAGTGAATCTTCCGAAATTCAACATTTCAGGTCCTGAATAGGTAAGACCACCATTGTAAGGTTTTGATCGAATAAAGAGGTCCTGAAATATCAAATTTCAGCAGATTCAGATCAGCGACTGAAGTGATCGAAATACCAAAAATAAGAGGTATAAAAATATATTTTGACTTCTATTATGATTATGTTTGACTCTTTATGGAGTAGGGTTCTAAACAAATCTATAAACGAGTAAAATGTTTGTATGTTTGTTTGTAATTCATGGACTCGAAAACCGAACTGAACCGATTTTCCTGAATATTTCTAAATATACTACAACATCGCCTGAAAGTAGCACAAGCTATATAAATTTTTGAAATTCCTCTTAGAACTGGAGATAGAGCATGAGCATCGAAGGAACCTCCCAAAAAATTAGATTTTATGTGCACATATCTTTTGATCGGTTACAGACGCAGTCTCCAAACTTGAAATGCGTAACGAAATTTGGAACAAAAATAAATTTGCCAAATTATATTTTCGGCCGATTTCGTTTATTTGTTGCACCTAACACGACATGCATGTCCGATTTCACTGAAATTTGCATTCCAATAAAATGTGTGACGGAATTTTGATCAGTAATTAAATTAGTCAAATTATATTAAAATCGGCTCAGATTTGGATATAGCTTCGGACGATTTCACATATTAAAAAAACTGCATCAAAGTCAAACGCCATAAATTTTAATTTTTTTATTTTAATTTTATTGAATGAAGGAAGAATATGTCGAAAAAAGCAACAAATTTTAGAATAAGTTTAGACTTGTTCGAATTGGTCACCTTTGGCACGAATTATGGCCCTCAAACGGCCAATGAAACCGTCACACACTGCCTGAATGTTGCTCTGCAGTATTTTGGCCCATTCCCGGCGAAGCACTTGCTTGAGGTGATATTTTTAATTGCCAACCTTGCTCTCAAAAATCCTCCAGACACAATAGTCCAACGGATTGGTATCCGGAGATTTTGGTGGCCATTGTGCGCTGGAAATGAAGCGAGGAACGTCATCCTATATCCATTCTTGGGTGGCGCGTGCTGAGTGCTATGGTGCTGAGTCCTGTTGGAATCACCAACGTCTGCGTCCAAAATGATTGCGTGCCCTCCAGAATATTTTCGCGATAATATTCGGCATTTATTCTGATGCCACTGTCGATTAATACGAGCGGAGAGCGATCATCGGCTGTTATGGCAGCCCATACCATCACCATGGCCGGCGCTTGAGTTCTGGTGGCCAACCGAAGGTGCACATTTTCAGCTGACCTCTTTGGCAAGTAAACACGATCATTTTGTTTGCTTACAAACTGCTGGATACCGAATGTTTTCTCATCGGAGAAAATCAAATTCAACTCTTCAGCTCTTTTGAGTCCATTTTCTTTCTGTTGCGATGTAAGTTCTCGTACTTTTTGGAATTGCAATGACTTTACCCCGAGCTCATTTTTCAATATTTGCCGAATGGACTATTGCGGGCAATTTTTCGGCCACTGGGACGCGGGTTTCGATCCAGTCGATTCT